ATCCAGAGGACCTACTGATTTTTTTCTTTTTGATTATGATTACTTACTCACTTAACAAAATTTAATTGGATATTTAAAGGCAATACATTTTTGTGAACCCTATGCACAACCTCCAAAATATTATGATCAACCAACTCATGAAATTTTAATAATTTCAATTAATAAAATAACATATTTGATGGGTGACTGTAATGTTTTCTGGTGGTAACTCTTACAGATCTTTTCTGTAAAATATAAGATTTGTAATTGTTTTACATGCTTTATCCCAGACTTCAATACAATATATCAAGTGTGGAACAATTATTGCATTATACATTATATACAGAGGTTTATCATTAAATAACTCTCTTACTTTGTACAGTACTGCAATAGATTTAGCTATTTTTGTTCTGCAAGATTTCCATGTCAGCTTTTCATCAATGATGACACCCGAACTCTAAATGAAACATCAATAGTTTTCTTTCTATGACTAAATATCTTAATTAGTTTTATTCAAATTTAATGATCATTTATTAAGTTTAAACCAAGTTTGTATTTTTACAAATTCTGTCTGCATCATCTCCAACATTCATTCTATATCTTTACCAAAACAAAAAATATTTAATATGCAAATTAAACACACTTAAAAAGCTCAGACACATTTACCAAGTCATTCACATATACTGTAAAACAACTTTGGACCAAGTACAGAACCCTGAGGAACCCCACATGTGATGTTACAGAGTTCAGATCTTACATCATTTATTTGTACAAACTGTTTCCTGTTTTCCAAATAGCTATATACCCACTGTAGTGCTGGACCTCTTATACCATGTTCATATCATATTTAGCTTTTCAAGGAGAATACTTTGACATTGGTCACTTGTGTCAAAAGCTTTCTTTAAGTCAACATAAAWACTAACACAGTACTGTTTTTGATCAGCARCTGTTATTTGTTGCTGCTGCTGCTGCAAAACGGGAGCAGTAGCATTCTGGATCAGCTGCAGCTGTCTGATGGACGTTTTAGGCATCTAAACTTAGGGAAGCAGYGGAACATGCTGCAGCTGAGAAGCTGCTCTTTGTTGTGTCTGCTGCTGGTTCTGGAGTTCTGTCAGACATGTTGGGTTCAATAAACATGTTCCTCTGCCTTTTGAAGCAACCTTCTCCTGGCAATAATAATAATTACCACAGCAGTAACCACCAGAACAATCACAGCAAGAGCTGCCAGACCCAGAATCAGTCCAGGATCTCCTGCACTGGTTCCATCCTGGTCTCCTCCACTCTCTCCTCCCTGGTGTTCTTGTCCTTCAATTGCTCCTGCTGTAGAGAATGATGAGTGTGAGGTATCAGGTAGGTGATGATCTCTGATCACTGYACTCAGACCAGCTGCTTTCTCATCAACAACATGTGGAGGAAACACAAATTCTGCTCACACACACTCACACTGCATACACACACACACACACACACTGCTCACCTGAAGGAGGAGGAGCAACCGTCAGGTTGATGGTGCTGATGGGATTAGTAAACAAGTTAGGTTTCCTCCCTTGGTGTGGTTGAAAGAAGTCGACTCTACACACATATATTCCATTATCTTTAGTCGTCACGCTGTTCAGAACCAAAGACACGTCTCCATCCTTCATCTGTCTGTCCCGGAGATCCGCTCTGTTTTTAAAAGATGGATGTTGACCCTCTGGATCAAACTGATTATCTCTGTACAAAATAACGTAATCCGACTCCAGATCAGTTCTGTCCCAATCTACAACTATAACAGGTCTGCTGTCATTAAATCTACAAGGCAGAATGAGAGTGTCTCCAGGTCCAGCTGTGATATTCAGATCTGCAGGAGGAGACAGAGAGCACAGAGGTCAAAGGTCAAAGTTGAACTCCTCACTTATACAGCAGCTCAGAGAGAGGACACTGGTCTCTAAGCTGAACTGAAAATAGTCAGCCTCAAGGTGTTTCTTACATTTATGCAAATTCACAAACTGCATCAAAATCTGAATGTTTTCAAATTTAAACTTAAGCTGGGCTTCTTTTTTCGAAATAAAATAAATTTTTCTTTTACAGTTAAAAGGCGGCTTGTCAC